GAACAGAGGTGGTTCCCATGATGATTCCCCTGGGTGCAGGGCCACAGCAGTGCGGGATGGGGGCTGGCAGTGCCTCCTGCCTGGCTCACGGGGTCCATAGTTCTCCTCTTCCTTATGCTACTGACTCCTCCTCAGGCACTCTCTTCCTCGGGGGTGCTGGGGAGAATGTGCTTGGTCTCTTCATTAGGGATACGAGAGCACTGGTAGTCATATAAGCCATACTCTTGCTTCTTCCTGCAGACATTGTGTTCGCACAAGTTGATCATTATATTGTCAAGCTATGGGGACTCTGGCTGGCTTCAAGGACGCAAACTTGTCCTTTGGCCAGAACAGCTCTTTTCCCAGTCCCTGTAGGGTCTGCAAAATGTCAGTGTTTTCATGAGACTGCGGCCTTCCCTCCTCTCCCCGCATCTTGTCATAGTCCTGCTTACAGATCTGCTGTTCTGAGATTACTATTTTTATTGAAATGGTCAGGACTGCGGCGCAGCTGCACAGGAAATAAAACCAGGCCGCCTCATTCCCTCCTCATTTCCACAGCAGGGGGATGCAGTCCCCCCATAATACGCCTCTTGTCATTCTCTCCTCCTCTGACACCAGGATAGCTAAGGGGGCACCCGCCAGGCCTGCTCCCTGTTCATACCAGCTCATGTTCCCGTTCTGGGACAGCTAGAGAAAAGGGATACAGCCTGTAGCTCTCCCTCTGACAAAGCAGTGCCTGATCCGTATGATGATGGGACCACCTCACTAGGAGCAACGCCCAGGGGATAGAAGGGAGGCGGAAGACTGTAAAAGGATGAAATTGAAAGAGTAAATTGTAAAAAGCAGGGTTACAGATCAGGGAGGGGATGGCTACTCCCTGCTAAATTCTGCACTCACTTTCCGGGCCTATTCCAGCCCCAATGTGCAGGACATCTTATCAGGAGAAAGCTGCCTGCATAATGGAGGGCTTTCAGGCAAAGCCAATACAAACGCTAAGGGGCCAACACTACTGGGAGATTAAATGAGCTAAATATTTATCACTTGGCTAAATGACAGCCGACTGGACATCTGATGTAAATACCAAGGAAGGAAAGAAACATTTTAAGGTGGCTTTGAGGGCAGGATTGAAGCAATCCAAAATGAAGGGAAACCTTAGGCAAGATTCTTTTTTTTTGCTCCACCTCTTGTGCAAGGGAGGGAGGCAATGGCCCAGCAAAGCATATGAAACATGCCTTGTGATAAAAAGGGTTCCAGAATTGATTTGTGCTCCTATGGGCAGCGGGATGGATGGCTGTATTTGGTGGACTCCAATGACAGCTAATCCTAGGCCATGCCTCTATGGTTTCTGCAGGTACAGACTCTGGGCGGACGCCTGCGCGGAAATGTTTGGAGGTCTTGACATCTGCGCTGTCAAAGCTGTCCACAGCAAAGATGGAAAAGACTATATCATTGAGGTGAGAGCATGGGGAACCTGAATGCAAGTCTCCTTTGGGAAGTGTATCTGCAAACACGCTCCCTCGGAGTTCACATGCACCACTGTGCTCGCTTACCCCTGTGCGCATGGTCCAGCAGTCACTGGTGCCCACTTATTTCCTCCAAGCTGTGGCCCACTGATATGCAAGAAACTGATTTAGAGTCCCAGCTAAACTGGCAGATATGCAGCAAGGTGTCAGGGTTGAAGTGCCTTCATTTCTCAATGTGGACTGTGAAAGGAAATAGAAAGCCACAGACTGCTTGGCCACCCCAGCTTTCCAGCTGATAAATCCCCACAATGCAGAACCTTACCACCATGGGACAGATGTGAAGCTGCCTTCTTATCAAGCACGTAACAGCCTGCAAGTGTTGCTGGCAGCATCCAAAGTTTGGTGTGTCTCATTGCACCAGTGCCCCAGTACCATCCTTCCTAGGCTAAGCACTTGCAAAGCCAGGGCATCTCTCATAGCTGCTAGTAGGGATCAACAGCATCATGAACAAACATGCCCATATTCAGCCCAACCTGCGTTCAGGTGCCAGATGATGCTAGCATATGAGTCATGTTAACCTCCTCCCATTACCCACACAGAGGTCCAGCAGGTGATTCAGTCCATTAAAAATCTCAGTTTCTCTTTGAATGAATCTGTCTTTCTCCAATCCCCTTAAAGGGAACCTCAATAACAAAACTCCTAGCTGCATCTAATTTAGAAGAGTAAAATAAATGGCAAGAGTGTAGCAAAAAGGTCCATACGTAGCAGGAACAATAATTAATTTTAAAAAAGGTGTATTTTCTAAAATCTTTTGCCCGGACAGCATTCACTACAATAACAGACCAGCAAGACAAAGCACTACAGAGTTACTATGGGCAGTGTGGACTACAAACTTCTGTGTTCAGAGCTGGACAGACTGTGGCTCTGAGAGCTGAAGTTCGACGTGCTCCTTGCCAGGCCAGGGGCAGACGTGGGAGTGGACTAGATAGCACACTCAGGTCATCCTAACAGGGCAGAGAAGGAAAAACTGGCCAGAAAATCAAAGTGGAAACTTAAGAGACAATCTGGGGGAGAGAAAATCTGGCAAGTAAGCAAGTGCCTCTGTCACTATGTGACTCAAGGAGGCACAGCATCTGACCTGCTGTAAACTCCGCCAACACAGGCCTGCCGAGGAAGATGAGCAGAGCCAGCCTATGGCTTCATGCAGGGGTGCTGACACACTGGAAAACTATGTGTGGGAGAGCAGTCCCACCCGCTGAGGGTTGGGATGCTGATGAGAACCACATGAGCCCTCCGGCGACTGCGCATTCCTG